CCAGATGAGTTTGGATCAGGATTCTCCTCAGACAGATTCAACTCTAAATCTTCATCAGACATAGATTACCAGTTCATCATAAAGCGGACAGAGACAGGAGACTCTGCTGTTTATTACTGTCAGACATGGGATGACTCTGCTTCTGCAGCTGTATCACAGTGATTCACACTGTGACAAAAACCTCAGTGAGAGACTCACTGCAGATTTTATGAATTCTGACAGAAATCAAACAATTAAAATCAGTAAACTTGGAACAACACAAGAACAGACATTAAATAAATCCCTTGTGAGAGACAAGAGTGTTTTTTCGTGTTTTGGAATATAATGAGACTGATGAAGTGAAGAGACATTGACAGTGAAAGTTGGTCTCAACAGGATGTTTCAGTTCCACTCCCCTCATTAGTGAGAGTCAGGAGGTTTTTGTACAGCCATGTGTACAAACTGAATCACTGTGGTATTCGGACAAGGCACCAAGCTGATTGTGACAAGTAAGTACTTTTTAACTCATCATAAAACAGCACAGATTTTATGTTTCTCATTCAAATTAAGAGAAAATGGTCAATTCATAATCTGATGAATAAAAAGAAAGAAAGAAATATTCAACACATTGTTTGGTGAATAATAGATAAGTGTTTCTACATCTGTTTGATATCAGGCTGTGTGTCTGAAGGCAAACGATCACAATTTATAAGTATTTTCTACAAATATTCAGAAGGTTTTTTGATGGCAAAGGAGTTTTAAACATTTGGGCAACATTTACAAGATTATTTATTTTCATAACTTATGACAAGTTTTAACATTTCAAAACTCTGCATTAATTATTCTGTAAAGAGTATTTTATATTGTGACATTAATAGTAAAATATTGTTCTTGTGATATTTATTTACTTATCCTCTAACATTCTGATATATTTAAAACTTGATGATGATTTCTAAATGTGTTTGCAGATTCAAAATGCTTAACTTCTTCAGCGTGTTGGTTATATCGTCAACACAAGCAATAAATGAATCTCCTACTGTCATGCTTTGTGTTAATGATTTGACTCCTAGTTATCTGATGAATGTCCTTTGTGTATCTTCAGGCTCCAGCCTCCCTCCTCCTGTCCTGACAGTCTTCCCTCCGTCCAGTGCTGAGCTCCAGTCCAACAAAGCCTCTCTGGTCTGTCTGTCCAGTCAGTCTGTGCCTTTTGCAGATGTGAGCTGGTTGCTTGGTGGGAGTCCAGTGAGCAGTGGGATCTCTACCAGCACCGCTGTTCAGCAAGCAGACCAGACGTTCCAAATCAGCAGCTATCTGGCCGTCCAGACGTCAGACTGGAACATGGATAAGGTTTACACATGTAAAGTGTCTTTGGGCTCCCAGACTGCAGAGAAAAACATCAACAAGTCCCACTGTCCCACTGAAGAACAGTAGAGGAGCACAATGAGCATTTAACATCTGCTTCTTTACTCTTTGTGCTGTTTGCTCATTACAAGGTTTACATGGTAGAAAAGATGTGTCTGCATGCTTGTAATAAATGTTGTGACAGTTAGGTGGAGGTGTTGTATCAGCTTTGCAAATGCTGCAGTTTTCAACAATCATTCAATAAAATAAGACAAAAAAAAAAAGTTGAAAAAGTGTTTGTATTTATTTGTACTTGTGAAAACATCATTTAAAATGACAATGTTCTGCAAATGTTGTCACCTTGACTAGATTGTATTTTTCTCCTGTTGTTCATGTCACTGATAATAATCCTGGCGACAAAGACAACAGACAGACTTGTTTCTTTAATATTTATATTCAAAATCATAAAGCAACATTGTTATTAGGTGTTAATTTGCAATAAAAGCACAGCAGAAAGATGAATATGACTTTGCCTTGTTTTAGTTGCTCACAGTCGTTAAGACGTTAGAAAAATCAGATGACATGAGCAAATGAAACTGAGTTTTCATCCTCCATCAGTGAAGCATCACCTCTCTACTCCTCCCTCTCTTCCTTCCCAGGATGCACCTGCAGGCCTCCTCTCCTTATTTATAGCTCCATGTAAATGAAGAGGTCAAGTGTCAGCTCTCTGTAAAATCAGAGGGAACTGTCTCTGACTGCAAACACACTGAGAGTTTAATCATTAACAGGTTGTAAATCAAATACAGTTTACGTCTAATGTCTGTAAATTACAATATGTACATGTGAGCAGAGACAAAGTTTATATCCTCTAGCAGATGTCTGTTGTTGACGTATGAAAAACCTGCTCAATGATACAAATATGATAAAGCTTTCATGCATGAATTCCATCCTTTAGGAACCAAAAAAAGTGACATTCATCTATACTGAAGTATTTTGTGACATCATGTCACTGAATTTAGTAAATCATCGTCTACACTGGGTATAATGGATAAATGAAAGAAGATGAGAGTAAGAAATGTGAGAAAGCATGCAGAGTGAAGCAAAGCTCCTCCTCCTGTCAGTCACTCTCAGTTTCAGTGTGCTATTAAATTGCTCCTCCAGCACCTCCTCTCCTCATCCTCCAAAGCCTCTGATCTGTCAGCAGTAAGCTGACTTTCCAAGTTACAAGGCCATTCTCAGCACACACTGACAACATGCTGGGGACCCTCTGCACTCTCATCACTGCTCTAACATGTAAGGAGGCTGACTTACTGCAGCTTTGACCTCATGTTGGATTCATCAGTCTGTGTGTTTCTCTTGACTCCATGTCATCTTGTTGTTTCCAGGTGTGAGTGGTGTGACGGTGGTGACACAGAAGCCTCCTGTTGTGACGCTGAGGAAAGGAGAGACAGCCACCATGGACTGTAACCTGGGGACTGGTATTGATACAGCAGTCTGGTATAAACAGATTCCAGGAGGAGTTCCTCAGTTTGTGCTGAGGTTTCATCACACCTATAGCTCTGTTAGATATGGCTCTGGTTTCTCCTCTCCAAAGTTCACATCTAATCATCAGTCAACATCAGATTATCGTTTGATCATCAACAATGTGGAGGAGGGAGACTCAGCAGTCTATTACTGCGAGACATGGGTCGGCTCTGTTAGTGAGTACGTATCACAGTGATTTACACTGTGACAAAAACCTACTCACACATACTTCTGCTTTTTGAGTCTTCAGCAAACGTTGACTGAGTTGAAGCCACTATAAACAATGCTCTTTGATATAATAATTATAATAATCATAATAATAACTTTAATTTATGTAGGGCCTTTCAAGAAACCCAGGGTCACTTTTACAATACATAGTAATGAAACAACAGCACCAACAGAACAGTACAATACAAAAAGCAGTATAGAAAAGCAACAAAACTATAACAATCAACAGAAGAAAGCAGACACACTGTGTGATGGTACACTGGGCAAGAGATGGATTATTGAATTAAAAAGCCATGGTGAACAGATGAGTTTTGAAGATGGATTTGAAAATGTCCAGTACAGGGGCATTGTGGGTTACAGGGTGGAGAGAGTTCCAGAGGGTGGGGGCAGCGACGCAGAAGGCCTGGTCACCAAAAGTTCGGAAGCAGGAGTGAGGGAAGGAGAGTAGGCCGGAGTCAGAGGAGCGCAGAGATCTGGACCGAGTGTAGGGGTGGAGGAGGTCCCTTATGTACTGTGGGGTGAGGGCATGGAGGGACTTATATCTTTGTTTGTTATATATCTATATTTATTGGAGAACGTCAGAGGTTTTGGAAAAACCCTGATGACTGCAGATGACCAAAGATATCTGTGAAGCACTCAGTTCATGTGTAACAGGTCCATCAACAGGCCCAATATTAATATTAAAACAGCCATACCTGTCTTTAATGGCTCAACAATACATTCAGAGATCCACAATGTGTTTTTCTTTCCTTTTTAAATCCTGTCATCCAGTGTTGTAGTAGAGGATATATGCAGGTATACAGGACACACCCACCTCTTCTTCTGGCATTTTAAAGAAGCCTCCTATCAGCCAGAAAAACAAAGGAATATATAGAAGTATACCCTCTTACTCTTCAGTAACCTACCCATCACCCACCTCATCAACTACCACTACACCACTGCTTTTATTAAGTTGGTCCAACAAACTCAACTCAGAGTGAGCCAAAAAGAAACAACAAACATGACATAACCCCTCACTCCCTTATTTGCTCCTACATACTGTCCATTTCACCATTATCCAACCAAGGCCCCCACCTAGCTATTAAAGACACTGCTGCTTTGTGGTATAAACAGATTCCAGGAGGAGTCTCTCAGTCTGACAACATTCAGATTTGTTTAGCTCTTTCACCAAGTGACCATTGTCCCTTAGACTCACTCTATCAATGCTTAGAACAAGTCAACAGCTGGATGCAATCAAATTTCCTTCAAATAAATAAAGACAGAAAAGAAATCATTGTTTTTGGCAACAAGGAGGAAAGAATGAATGTTACTGCAGTTTCTGATACCAGAGCTATAAAGACAAAAACCCCAGTCAGGAAACTTGGTGTTTATTTAGACTCAGATCTGAGCTTCAGCAGAGTCATCAAGGCAAGAACTGAATCAGCATTTTATCATCTTTAAAAAAGAGCAAGATTTGGAGTAACTCATTCATGTCATAATATCCAGCAGGGTGGACCAATGTAACAGTGTCCTTTCTGAACTTCCCCAAAAGACAGTTAGACAACTTCAGCTCATTGAAAACTCTGCTGCTAGAATTCCAGCACCAACAAAGAGAACAGAGCACATTACCTCGTTCTTAAATCCCTACAGTGGCTTCAAGTGACTTAATGGATAGATTTTAAAATGCTGCTGTTAGTTTTTAAATGACTCAAAAATCTCAGAGCATTATTGAATGAAAACACAGTTGAGTGTTGAAACTCCTCCTCCTCCACTTCTCCTCTCCTACAATTTTTGAGTTGGAAACTGTCATAAATTCAGCTTCTGTATCTAACAACGGGGTAGAATATTCTAATATGATAATTTAAATTTCAAGCAAAGCTCCTCCTCCTGTCAGTCACTCTCAGTTTCAGTGTGCTATTAAATTGCTCCTCCAGCACCTCCTCTCCTCATCCTCCAAAGCCTCTGATCTGTCAGCAGTAAGCTGACTTTCCAAGTTACAAGGCCATTCTCAGCACACACTGACAACATGCTGGGGACCCTCTGCACTCTCATCACTGCTCTAACATGTAAGGAGGCTGACTTACTGCAGCTTTGACCTCATGTTGGATTCATCAGTCTGTGTGTTTCTCTTGACTCCATGTCATCTTGTTGTTTCCAGGTGTGAGTGGTGTGACGGTGGTGACACAGAAGCCTCCTGTTGTGGCGCTGAGGAAAGGAGAGACAGCCACCATGGACTGTAACTCTGCTATAGATGGACCTCGCTGGTATAAACAGATTCCAGGAGGAGTTCCGCAGTTTGTACTGAATTATTATCACAGCTTTAGCGCTCCTCAATATGGCTCTGGTTTCTCCTCTCCAAAGTTCACATCTAATCATCAGTCAAGAACAGATTATCGTTTGATCATCAACAATGTGGAGGAGGGAGACTCAGCAGTTTATCACTGTGCTACATGGGACGATTCTGCCAAGGAGTGGGTATCACAGTGATTTACACTGTGACAAAACCTCCTCACACATACTTCTGCTTTTCAAGTCCCTGTAAAGGATTGACTAAGGGAAGCCAGCAATGGAGCCACCAATTTGCATTGAGCCCCAGGAATCAACCTGTGCACTTGTGCTGGAATACAACCAGGCAGGAGTTCCTGTACATCGGGTAGTTTGTAGTAGTTTGATAAAACAATTTTTTGAGAAGTCAGCATCATTTGTGATATAATCCACAGCGATAAGGCTGCTTGAACAAGATTTTGACTCAGGACCCTTCAACAAGCTGGGGCCATGAGACATTGTAATAAAGCAGGACACCAGCTTATGTACTGTAGTGGTGAAAATTTCTCCTGAAGCTCTGAGGTCTGGAGCAGTTACCCACCTTGGCAGGTTAATTCAGCTTTGTTGATCACCTTTCACATGTGCAAAGGCTTCAGTAATGACTTCAGCAACGGCTGACACATGTTTTTATTAAACTATGACTGTCCCTGACTTCCCTGAGATAAAACAATAATCAGTCACAAAAAACATTGTATTTAGTTTCCAAGTTTTGTTTGAAACATAGTCAGGTGTGGGCTGGACACGATGCTTCACACGCAGGAGAAGATGTGTGCTCTCTGATGTATAAGCACACACATTCATGGTCTGTTTGTGTGTGTTCTGAGCTCTGCTCTATAGGTGATATTAACACTATAAATATTTCAAGTATTCTGTGAAAGTTAACGTTTTGTTAATGTCCAAGAAAAGGAGGCTCATTTAAGTATTTCAAAACTACTCAAAATTGGATCTGTTGATTAGTGAACTGAAAAAGTAACGAATATATGACAATAAAAGTTTTATTTTTTCGAATCAGCATGTGATGTTTTAGGGGTGATGAATACAAATAACATGCTCCAAAGTGTGATTTTCAGCTACAGCACCAAATGAAAATGCAACTTGAACTGCTAACATCTCATATATATTCACAGATTAATAATGTGTTTCCAATATCTGAATCACAGGAGCCTTTACTTATATGAAGCATGCTCACTTAATGAGATAACATCTCTGAGAAGTGCGATGAATCTGAAATTGTTGACAAACAGTTTTGTTTACTCCACATCTTGCTTATTACTGAAAACCGCTTACTTTTCATACTGTAATGTACAAGTATGAGAAACATGAAGCTAAAAATGAATGAAGCTTTATTTATCATGTGACTATATTAAATAAATCTCTGACAAATGAAACAAAATAAGCACTTTTATTTCTATAACTCCTGAAATTATTAAAAATATCAAAGGACATCAGCAGGTCTCCGAAAATAACTTGAACAACGACACAAAGTAAAGCAAACACATTTGTCGATATGATGTGATGCACATAAATCCTGTTATTTATTAATGAATGAAAGCAGAGCTGAGTGTTTAAAGTCCTCCTCCTCACACTCCAACCCTGCTCACCTCTCAGCTGGAAAGTAAGGGACGTTTACACCACACACTGACAACATGCTGGGGACCCTCTGCTCTCTCATCACTGCTCTAACATGTAAGGAGGCTGACTTACTGCAGCTTTGACCTCATGTTGGATTCATCAGTCTGTGTGTTTCTCTTGACTCTATGTCATCTTGTTGTTTCCAGGTGTGAGTGGTGTGACGGTGGTGACACAGAAGCCTCCTGTTGTGACGCTGAGGAAAGGAGAGACAGCCACCATGGACTGTAACCTGGGGACTGTGACTGATAAAGCAGTCTGGTATAAACAGATTCCAGGAGGAGTTCCTCAGTATGTGCTGAGGTTTTATCACAGCTGGAGCTCTGTTAGATATGGCTCTGGTTTCTCCACTCCAAAGTTCACATCTAATCATCAGTCAACAACAGATTATCGTTTGATCATCAACAATGTGGAGGAGGGAGACTCAGCAGTCTATCACTGTCACACATGGGACAGCTCTGTCAACGAGTACGTATCACAGTGATTTACACATGTGACAAAAACCTCCTCACACATACTTCTGCTTTTTGAGTCTCTGACACTTCTTGTCTGGGAGTAAAGCCATCAGCCAATTCTTTATGTTACCTCGCTTATATATTAGAAACATATTTTAAAACTTCAAATCCCTTTGACTGGATTCTCACAAAAAGCCTCAGAACTTAGTGGTAGTAACTTACAGTATGTCATGTGTACGTTCTTTAATGCAAAAATAGACAATAGGCTTGCTACTAAATGTTAACCACAAGATCTATCACACTGTTGGACAAATCAGTGTTTACAGTAAATATTCATGTCTTTTGCTGCTCATAAAAATAAACAAGTTATTAAAAGTTCTGAGCAGATTCTCATTTGCTGATCCAAACTCAGATTATGTGATAAATCTTTCTTGACAAAAATGCTCTGGTGCACATGTAGTGAGGATTGTTACACAAACATGTCTTGTATTATATTGTTATGTTGCAGTTTGTCCCTCTTCATGAACAGGATCAAAGGTCATCTGGCAGCCAAAGTTACAAAAACTAGAAGTCACGTGCAGATAAAACACAACCAAACAAACCTCTCCATTAATATAGGGTAATAGTTAATGGGAAAAAGAGAACGTGGTTATTAGTATCAGCAAAGTTACTCAACATGGCTATATATCCAGTATACTAAAATAAGGTGGCACAATGAATAGGCCTACATAATATTTGATGATGAAGATAACAAAGGTACAATGCCCTGCTCATTATTACACAGTTTATTGTGTATATACTACACGATAAATCTTGAGCTTCTAACATGAACCACGTATTTGTTTGTATATTTAATTTTAAGGTGAATAAATGTCTGATAGCACTCCTACATGTACACAAGAGAAATGTAATGATGATATGTAATAATATGATGATTTATGGTCATGAGCAAAAGACATTATGAAAGATGAGATTACTGGTACGAAATGATCTACAGATATGACACTGAATCACATTCAGAATGTTTTTCATTAATGAATAAAAAGCTGAGTATAGTTTTGAAACTCCTCCTCCTCCACTTCTCCTCTCCTTCAGTCTCTCTCAGTCAGTCATTGTAAACAGTAAATATTCATGTCTTTTGACGGATTTGCGGATTTTTTCATTTGCTGATCCAGATTCAGACAATGAAATGGATATTTCTTGATATAAATTCAGCAGCGCACATGTTTGATTTTTCCTTCTTTATGAACAGGTCAAAGGGCCATCTAACAGTCAAAACTGACACAAACTAGAAGTGAATGTGCAGCTGAAACATGACCAAATGAAAGTCTTACTTTCACCTGACAACATTCATTTATATTTTGTGATTTGTGATGTGTTTCCAACAGATGAAACACAGGTCTCCATTAATATGCAAAATGCTACTTCAGTGAGAGCAAATTTATTTAGGTGAGAACTGATCAGTTCATTAACTTTACACCCTGCTCACTGACGCTGTTTGCACATGCTGGACAAACAGATAGAGTACTACAGAGTGTTTATAATCTGAGGGATCACCATGACATGTGGAGTTCCTCAGGGCTGGATTCCTGGGCCACAATTATTCAACCTGTACATGTTAATTCTATTAAAATAATGTTTGTTATCACAGCTACGTAGACAACACTCAGATGTTTTTAGATCTTTCACCAAGTGACCATAGTCGCTCAGACTCACTCTATCAATGCTTAGAGAAAATCAATATCTGGAGTTAAATCTATTTAAGGA